GAGAGAGAGAGAGAGAGAGAGAGAGAGATTGATTTTCATTTGTTCTTTCTTAAGAAGAACTAACCTTATTCTTAAATTTAGGCTAAATGGTCTTAACAGGAAAAGGTAATTTTAAAAAATTACTCTACAGCCAAATAAGACTTTGGCAGCAATGTCTTGGTCAAAGCTTTGTTAGTTATTTTGTTTCTTTTCCATAAGGGGTTGAACCCACAGTCTTGTATAGGCTAGGCACCTGTTCTTCCACTGAGTTATAATCCCAGCTCTAAAACTTTGTTATTAAAAAAACCAAGTCTGTGAACTTCTCTGAAAGTGTGGGAAACACCACGTGAAGAAGAATGTACCCAGCAGAGGTTTTGAAGTCAGGTAGACATAGTGTCACGTGCTGGATCCAGCAGTTATTATCCAGTTGTTATGTAATTCTGACCTTGGCATTTATTCTCTTAGAGTATCAGTTTAACCATCTGTAAAATGGAATTATTTCTGGAAGTCAGTGAGACAATGAGTGAAGTAGACTGTGGCATACTCTGAGTCATACATTTTGCCTCATTATTATTTCATTTTATATTTCACAACACATTGAATAGGTAACTGTGGCTCCTCTTAGAATCCTAATTTAATGACCTCTTGCCCTACGAATTCTAATTCACACTGAGCGCTTCAACCACAGAAAATGAGACTGTCACACTGAGTGATTAAGTAACAGCATTTGTTCTCCAGTTAGTGGTCTTCTTCATAGAGAATTGTATTTCTTCTTTTGCTCTGAGCCCACGATTGCAGTGGCTGTGGGTCAGAACTATACAATCCATCACAATGTCAATCTTTTATCAGTTATGGTACTCCTTCAGAATGTACATTTGTAGGGAAATATGATAACTCTCTGATCACTTGTTGATTTTGCTCAGGAGACATCAGTCTAACACTTGGCTTATTTATTTATTCAGATACAGCAACACGTCTTTCTTATCAGAATGACCCTTCATTTGGATCTTACGTTGTTCCCATCCGAGTGACAGACAGGCTGGGTCTGTCTACCATTACCTCACTGAATGTCATCGTATGTGACTGCATTACTGAAAATGACTGCACAACCCGCTCAGGTGAAAGGACTGGCAATGCAGAAGTGAGGCTTGGGCCATGGGCCATCCTCGCCATACTGTTGGGCATAGCCTTACTATTTTGTAAGTCCTTTCTTGAGTTTAAGTCAACACCTTACAAGCAACATTTAAGGCACATTCTTAGAATGAAAGTCTTTCCTTGCAGCTGATCGTTTGTACATAGCTGTGTGTTTCTAGTCAACATATATATTTAAAACAATTTTTTAACATTTAGTGATCTGATTTTGGTGGGAAAGGACAGACTTGTACTTGCATGTAGTGGAGATCAGGGAACAAATGATGGGACTCGCTTGTCTCTTACCTTGTGGGACTCAGGGATCAAACTCAGACCATCAGGCAGCAAGGATCTTTACCTACTGAGCCATCTCTCCACCCCATTTATTTAACATATATATATATATATTTTTTGGGGGGGAGGTCTTTTTGAGACAGGGTCTCCCTGTAGCCCCAGCTGTCCTGGAACTCACTATGTAGACCAGGCTGGCCTTGAACTCATGGAGACCCACCTGCCTCTGCCTCCCGAGTGCTGGGATTAAAGGTGCGCCACCACGCCCAGCTAACATACATTTTAAGGGCACATATATGTTAGTGCTTTTGTTTTCTCAGCATAGATATACAGTTCACTGCAAAATTACATCTTACGGTATGTGTTTATAGCATATCTGCTTAGGGCAAACTTTTTTATTGTATATGCTTTTATACATGCAATCATATGTATTTATATGTTCTAGAAAGGTATATCATAACGCTCACCCTTTAATGTGTTAATCATCTTAAATGCGTGGCTTCACATTGTATGATGGCAGACTTAAGTGGAATGCTTTCCCTCTTCCTCCAGGCATCCTATTTACATTAGTCTGTGGGGTTTCCGGGGCTGGCAAACAACAAAAAGCACTTCCTGATGACTTAGCACAGCAGAACCTGATCGTCTCAAACACTGAAGCTCCTGGAGATGATAGAGTTGTACGTCACCTGTCTTTTTAAACCAAGTGCTGAGGGTGATTTACCCGATAATATGTTATGCTCCTCAAATGACATCATGGACCAAAGTTCTGTTGCTACCAGGGAACTCACCATAAAATGTCGTCCATCCCGTCAAATGGCTAGGATGCTTATGGCTCCCACAGCGATGGTGATGTATGATATTTCAATCTGACCATCTAGTGCTACTTAATTTATGAATCCTGTAGCACATCATGATTAATTTCTACTCATGCATTTCATGGCTTTAATGTTAAACCTGTTTGTTTTTTAAAAAATCAATTTAAACTGCCATTTATGCTTTAAATGCTGCATTTAATGACTCACAGGTCACCAGTATAATTGTTTTGATTTTTTTTTTCAGACAACAGCAATAAAATCACTAAAGACTTTGATCATGGTGGGAAAAAGTTTAATGGATTCTTCTTGGCTGTAATGTGGGTTAGAAAAGAGCCTGAGGCTGAGACTCCAAAGCACCAGGCTAGCAAGGGGTGACAGCACACTGACTTTTTCTAGTCTGATGTGTAGGGGATCAAGCGATATCTTCCAAAAAGCACAATGGATGGTCAGAGCAGGAACAATCTAGAGAAACAAAACAAAAAGGTTGTGTCTCTGAAAAGACTGGGGAAAAGAACTTATATTACAGTGTGCAAAAACAAAGAAAATGTGTTCCCTGATAGCAAAGAAAATGCATGGTCCAAGATGTGATGTCTGCTCTCTTCCTGCCTGACTTACTGATTTATGTAGACTATGGGTCTAGATGTTTATAGTCATCTTATTCTTTTTATTTTAGTTGAAGGGAGCTAAATTAGACATTGACTAAAGTAACTTATTATTTCTGTTTCTGCTCATCTGATAAAGGGGAAAGGTCCACCCAGAGGAAATAAATACATGCACAGTAGAGTTGTTTTGTGTGAGGCACTGAAGGCTCTGACTGAAACCATACAGTATTCTAAAAAGCATTTAAGGATGGAATCTGCAGCAGGCCTTTTGATTTGTCCCCAGGTACCGGGTCTTGGTACCTGCGATTGGCTTTTTGCGTTAGACATGGGCATTACATCCACTGTAGGGCATGCGCTAGGTCCTGGGATTGAAAAGACAGATCAGTCCTGCCTCCTGAACACTCATCTTCTAGCACCCACATCAGATCAGACACTAGCTGCTCTACGTCTTTTCACAGTTTTTCGTTCCTCACTGTGTTTGACCAATGTACACCTTTCTCTTTTCAGTATTCCACAAATGCCTTCACAAGTCAAACTGTGGGCGCATCTGGGCAGGGGACTTTAGGCACCTTGGGATCAGGAATCAAAAGCGGAGGGCAAGAGACGATTGAAATGGTGAAAGGACAGCAGACCTTGGACACCTGCCGAGGGGCTGGGTATCATCGCCACACCCTGGATCCCTGCAGGGGAGGAGCCCTGGAGACCGACAACTACAGATACGCTTACTCAGAGTGGCACAACCTCACTCCGCATTGCCTCGGTGAAGTAAGTTTCCTGAGATGGCACACAAACTTAATGTTGATTTAATTTAATCGTTACTAGTGTTTCTAAGTGTTTGTGAAAACTGCTACTTTTGGTTAATTTTGAATCTACTTATTAGAAAGTTACAATTTTTTCTTAATTTGGATTTAATTATGTTGATATTTAAGTGGTTATTTACTTTCCTGCATATTTTATTTGGTTTTTATGACTCTATGGACATAAAGCATGACAACTAAATTATCCTTCATGATTTTCTGCCACTGTTTCTCACCTGGCAAGCTGGTCTTAGCTACTAAAAGCACACCACAAGGCCATGCCCGCATGCACCGCCTCATTGCCTCCCTGGGAAGGACAGACCCTACTTCAGTTCAAGTTCAGTTTACTGAGTGTGTTACTTTTAGCCATCAGTGTGAAAAAGGAAAGCAATGTTCACTTAAAATGAACACACTTGGATACTCGCTGCCACGTACGACTTCTAGACGCATGCTAATACTGAATTTACAGTGTGGTTTTATGATATAGACCAATCATGTGCATTTTCTACATGTAGGAATCCATTAGAGGACACACTCTGATTAAAAATTAAACAATGAAAGGTAAATCAAAGCAATTCTTTTTATGTTAGCAAATTTTGGTGCTTAAGATAGTAATAATAAAATATGTTGTGTTTCCCTTGCAGATGGTACAGCAGTGTAACCAGGACAGCCAACAGAAGTTCTCTCAAGACTATGTCCTTACCTACAGCTATGAAGGGAAAGGCTCGGCCGCTGGCTCCGTAGGCTGCTGTAGTGACAGACAAGAAGAAGATGGGCTGGAATTTTTGGATAATTTGGGGCCCAAATTCAGGACATTAGCAGACATCTGCATAAAGAGATGAGCATTTCTCACCAAGTCGACTCAAAATCAGTGGATTCATCGCCTTCCCCCACATTTTTAACTATAAACCCAGATTTTTCAAAAATAGAGGATATTATATTTGGGACTTTCTTCCTTTCAGTGAGAGAAACGTACATGTAGAGACACTTTGTAAATTGGCCCATATTTTTAAAAACGTTCTGCATAGGTTTTAATTACTTATCTTTTACCCAAGTGAGATCTACAGATGGAAAATTTAAGGAAATTTGCATTTCTGTTTACATTGGGCATAATGACGACAGCCAACTTGTAATGCAATAAAATTTAACGAATTCATGTCTATATGTAGATGCCTACTTAATGTGTAACCCAATTGAAGGCTGTAGAGAACATGATCTCCAGTTAACGGAGCCATTACTTGTTTCTGTGGTGCTTGGGAATGGTTGTTTCCCAGTCGTTCTAAACTGTGTTGTGCACTTTGCCTCTTGTTCTTGTTTTATTACAGCATGACTTATCCTCACAAGGCAAAGGGTGCTTTCCGGCCAGGCGTTGACTGTTGCAGTTGCATTCGGGTGGGGTTTATGTTTAGGTTCCGTTCTGTGTAGAATCCTGCAATGAATCCACATCTTTCTGTCAACTTTAGGTTTTAAAGCTTCTTTCAGAATATAGTTTTTTACTCTTAGAAGTTCTTGTCTTTGACATGCCAAATGGTCTACATTCTTGATCCCTCTTTCTTTCTTTCCTTTATGTTTTAAAAAACCTTTCTACTCTTTTTAAAATTCATCTTTTTCTTCTCTTATATAGCAAATTACTCTTTCTGTGCTATATAAGCTTATGCATTATTGGATTTCTTAATGCAATGTTAACTGTATTGTTTATAAGTCTTTGGTGATTGCTTCATTACATCCCCAGCAAAAGACTTTTAATTTTGCCATTGAAATTGTAGAACTACTTCATGATTTGTTAGAAACAACCTTCTATGACAGCAAAAGGAGCATTGTACTTAGAATTGGAAAGTGGGTATTTAGAGTAGAGTAACACATTGACAGTTTGCATCTTTAATGCATGGATGCTGTTTGTAAGGAGGAGATAGTGATGGTGTTTGAAGTAAGCTTTGATATAGGAATACTGAAGTGCTCAAAGATGATGACTTTATGACTTTTAGATGAGATGGCTGTCATACATGATTGCAAAAGTATTCTTAAAAGTACATTTTGATATTTACAGCTTTTAGTAAATATGGAATGGGTCAAGCTATTTAAAAATTTTAAAGAAAATACAAAAGTACAACAGCCAACCAAATTCCTGGCCAGAGTTCATAGCTTATTTCAGTCAACAAGTTCTCCATGGGCGTTAGCTACATGGATATTCTAGATGCAGTTCTAATGCTTGTAACTGTTCATTTGTGCTTGTTATGAATTCAGCAGGTTGGCTTAGAATGATTAATTTTCAGAACAAATATTGGGCAATATTTTGATAACCAGCTATCTTTTCAAAAGTGTCATTACTGCTTATCCAAAAATATTTCTCAGAGTTATTTTTAATAAATTAACGTACAAAATTATTGTGTGCTTCTTTGATGATATAGTAAACTAAGTGGCTCTTGTCAACTGGTTTGGGTTTGTTAATCCTGGATCTGATGTGAATAGGGATTATAATGTGGAGAACTCATTTCCTTTCCCAGACAGCTGTCACTTCAGTTTTTAGAATCTAGAGTTAAAGTCACAGAGATACTTGGTGTACTGTAATTAGCACACATGGCTAATGTTCCTGTGCTAAAGACTCAAGGTATGGATGTGGGTTAATTCACATATTTTCTGTTTCTATTTTTATCATCTTAAAATAGAGGATGCTGTTAGAACTCCCAATGTGTTTGTAAAAAGAAGTATTCTTCCAAGAAGGAAGGGGGTTTTGGCTCATGAGGGTCAAGGGTACAGTTCATCATGGTGGAAAATCTATGGTGGCATGAGCCCAAGACAGCAGGCCACATTGTGTCCACACTCAAAGAGAGATGAATCAATAAAAGAATGTTTTAAGAATGAAATTCTTGGGGCTGGAGAGATGGCTCAGCGGTTAAGAACACTGGTTGTTCTTGCAGAAGACCCAGGTTTGAATCCCAGCATCCACATGGCAGCTAACAACTGTCCGTAGCTCCAGTCCCAGGGGATCCAACAGCCTCTTCTGACCTCCACGGGCATAGCACAACACGGGTGCACTTACCTACATGCAGGCATTATATGCATACACATAAACTACAAAATAATAAAATTTTAAAAAAAGAATGAAATTCTTGCAAAATGGCCTACCTAAAAGGTACTCTTAATAATAGTAAATGATTTTAAATAAGCCATACGAGCAACCCATTTCATCCTAATTAAGAACGTAGGATGATGGAGACTTGTTTTGGATTGACATTTATCAGTGGCAAACGCTTCTCTTCCTAAAGACCAGCTGACTATGAATCTCATGGTTCCAGCTGTTCAGAACACTTTCTGCAAAACTTATTGAAATGTCTGCATAGGATTGCCTAGTTTGTAATGATGTGAAATACCAGGTTCAAGTGGATGGGAAACAAATACCCACTTCTTCCATGGACATTAGCTCTGAAGCCCTCTAAGTGAAGATTGTCCTGGAGGGCCCTTCTTGGTTGCTCTCCTGGTTGTCTTTCTAGCCAGACAACGGATTGGTGGGAGTTTGTATTTCTCTGGTAGTCACCATGGTCACCCTAAGTGAAAAGATTCCAGAGGAGATCCCAGCCCCACCTTTACTAGCTGTAGGCTTTGAGATACATTTAAATGTTCTAGTCTAGCTTCCTTATTTGTACTGAGAGGGGCGAAGACTGCTTGGCAGGGCTGTTGTCATGTGAGGGGAGTTAGTTCAGGAGGACTTGCCTTGATCTTGCACTCAGTGTGCCCTGGCACTGCTGTTGTTAAGGAGAACATTTGGAGATAATGATCCCAGCTTCTGTGTCTACCGAGCTGCTGTCCTGCCATCCTCTCCCGTAAGCCTGACGTGTGATGGACATTGGAGCTTCAAGCTCAGAGTAGTTTGTAGACCTCATTGTTGGCGTTGAGGAGGCGGCCCTGCACTCATCTGGGAGTTGGAGCACTAGGTCTTGAGACAACTGAACAGGAAGGAAAGGTTCCTAATCAGTCACAATTGTCTCCAGGAGGCAGAATTTTAGGGATTTTCCCAGAGAAATGGATGACACCATATCTTCACTAGGAAAATAATGGCTCTTTGTTGTCACCTCACTGAGTTTTTTCCTTTTAGAGACAGGCTCTTGTTTTGTAGCCCAGGCTAGCCTCACACTCATGGTTATCCTGCCTCAGTCTCCCAGGCAGGGTGCAGTACAGTTTTATTTGAGGTTCCTTTGTAATAATTTTCTACTACTTTAAAGAAAAATCATCTTAAGATTAATTCTTACCTTGGATCCTGACTCTCTGGTACAAAAATATGACTTTGATCATAACCTCCACTTTAATTCTGTCTCTATTCCTTTTTCTGGGCTCCAGATGGAAATCTTTTTCTTTTTCATCCAGGAGTAGGCCTCAAACCTAGGGCCTCCCACATGCTAGGCAAGTGCACTACCACTGAACTATATTGCTAGTCCTAGGTAGATGTCTTATTTCAATCTGAATTCAACATGATTTCAATGTGGTTGGCTACTTTCATAACATCCTGAGAACAAAATGCCTTTCCTTTTATGCACTTAGAATCTCCTTCGGCAACAAAGCCCTAAAAGAAGACATGGAATCTGCAGAGATTATAGCTCTTACCTAGTTCTGAGAGATTCCTGATAACACTCCAGCACTTTAAGTTCATTATGTCAAAAGGGAAACTTGTTTTTCTGTCCTATCAATGAGGTCCTCCTGAATTTTTTATCTAAATGGTGTCCTTAGGCTTGAAAGGAAGAACCTTTGATTCCTCTTTCTTGCATAGCGCATCTTGCTTGTCACCGAAACTATCACATTCTGAGACTTTTTAAACAATTTCATTCATGAAAGAATTCATCATTCAGCAGTCATTTCATGCCTTTCCTGTGCAGTCACCCGTGGTCTTCTGTCATGTGCACTACAAAGACTGCACCCCATGAGAACGTCCAAGATGAATCAGCTCCTCTCTCCACCCACATACTCTCATACAGGTCAGGACCTGGTGGGTGGGAAGAAGGTACAGGCTAACGCCTGTAAAACACATCATATGACGCCTGCCATATAGAAGCACTCAATGTGTGTGAAAACAATTCCAGATGATCCACCACTGTGGTGTGGAGGATGTAGCCCCCTTCGGCCATCCCCATTCTTTACTATTCTCCTCACAAGTGCCTGCTCCTTCAAGGCCTCACCTTGTCAATTGCTGGGGTATGTGCCTCCATCTTGCCTTCCCTTCTTCCAAATACCATCAAAGAGCAGATATGGTCTTGACACTCTCCCTATGGAGTTCTCTCAGGCTTTGGAGAATAAGTCTGAAACACAAAAACACATTGGCCTACATATTTCTGTACTCTGAACACTCTGTCTTGCAGCTGGTTGTAAATATGTTCGTGCAATTATTCCAGGTGGGAGGTGTTGAGCTGACCTGGGTCATGATGTGCAGTGAGCACCTTAAGCACTCATCTTGCTCACGTTGGGTCTTGACTCAATGTCCTGACTCATTCATCATCCATTTCTTCCTTTGTAGGCATATGGCCCTTTTAGGAGGTCTAGTTCAAATGTCATCTCTGACATCCCTCCGTTGAAGGGAAGACATCTGCATGTCTAGAGTGCAATGCTTTCACTCGTGTGTGGATTCTTCTCATGTGGGAATCTCCTGGAGCACATGGAATGATGTTCACATTTGCTTGTCCTTAGAATGCTGGCTGTCAACACAATTTTCATGAGATCAAATTGTATTGAGGACCCAACAGAAGAAAGTATTAAAGATTACCCATTCGACCTTTTGATTTGTGCATTACTTTCTCTGGGTCTAGATTTTTCTGTAAATACATGATGCATACAACACTCTGCCCTGAATTGTTTCCTCGCATGGGGACATTAGATAAATAGAGCACTGAACGTTTGCATTCGCCACTCAGCACAGGAAACCCCGGGACTTTGGAATGATGCCTGCCTCTGCCCTGTGTGCTGTGGGTTGCAGGCAGCAGAGCTTCTATCCGAGTGGTGTGATTCTGAGTCTTGCGGCTTCAGGTCAGCCCAATTCCTCCCACTGCCAGCATCGCCCAAACTTGCTCAGAGCCAGCCGCAACCAGTGAGATGCAGTCCACCTATAATGCTTGTACTAATTCGCTTTGCCAACAACTGTGTGTGACTTTTTCTGTGTGGCGGCTACTGGACATACTCTTTCCTAAATCCCTCTGACGTACTGATGAGAAGAAGGAAGAGTTCCCAGATGCTCTTCTGGTGGTACACAGGACATGGCTGTTTTATGCCACTTTTCACTCCCTTGTGTTCCTGCATGAAATCTGGGCACAGCTAGAAAGCTGGAAATACGCTGGTTGGCTCTTTTCTTTTTGTCCATGCACACAGAGGATAATACATTGAAAATAATTTTTTAAAGTGATTATAGAGAAATGACTGAAAAATATTAATTTCCTTTTTATAACAAATATTAGGGCGATGAAATATTTACTTGCACTGCATTTTACCGTGATTCACAGACTGTCATCTGTGGCATTTATTAAAATAAAGATTCCCATATTGAGTCACAATCAGAGATGATATGGTACTAGAGGAAGAATGGAGTCCTCAATTTCTTCAGTATGTCCTGGTTCATACACATACTATGTAAAAACATTATATTTGTGTGCAAGTATATGCACGTGTGTGTGCCATTGTTCATGCCCATGCACAGACAGGGAGACCAGACGTGGACTCTGGGTGGCCTCTTCTATCATTCCCACTTATTCCTTTGAGGTGGATCTCTCTCTCTGAACTGGAGCTTACGTTTTTTTAGACTGACAGCCAGAAAGTCCCAAGATCCTTCTGTGCCCATGAATTCAGATCTGGGGTTACAGGCATGCATGAGAAGCCTCACTTTACTGCTACACTGTAATGTGAGTACTTTGATGTGAACTCCAATCCCCAGGATTAGGTAGCAAGCACTCATCTCTCCAGCCTCCTCCTGGGTCATGCGTATACTCTAAAGTCCAAATATCAGTGACAGGGAGATAGCATTTGTGTCTATGTGCTTATTTGGAACTTCAAGAAACAAGTAACACATTTTCTTAAAAAATCTAAAGCCAGATATGGCAGAATACACCCATAATTCCAAGAGCAGGAGGACAAGACAAGAAAATTGCAAGATCCTGTTCAAACAAATAAATGAATAAAATGAAAAGTTTCAAGAGACGCTTTTTCTACAATGCATCAAGGCAAATGCTAGTTGTACAAAAGATGAAACACGTTGGTTGGTGAATGCCCTAATTTCAGTAAATTAAGCATCTTAGAAGATATGCTTGTTCCCCATGGGCTCCTACCCACCACAAGTGTGTGGGCCGGTGGCATCTTATTATGACTGTCCAGGAGGCAGCATCTATGTGGTGTCACTATACTAGTGTGTGGA